ATCTTCCGATTTAAGGTATTTTTGGTCTATTAGACACATTTTACGACCAAATTGGTTATAATTTGGTAAGATTTTTTTCATCCTAAATGTGGTTTTTGTCACAAATGGTTTAAATATCAACATTATTTTTGTATGGGAAATGGGGTCTTCAAAACACACGTTAAGTGGTTCGGCTGTTAAAGAGTTTATAAATATATATATATATATATATATAAATACCCAAAATCAGGACCGTTATATAGGACAGAAAACGTGGACCAGTATAGACAATTGGTACTCGTAGAGAACTATCTGTGCCAAATTCCAGCCAATCAAATTGGCTAATAGATAAAATTTACCAAAAATCGGGAGGTACGGTTATATGGGGGCTATATCAAAACTTGGACCCAGAGACCCCATTTCCCATACCAGTACTATAAAATCCATCTGAGCCAAATTTTGGCCGTCTATATTAATTTTTCGCCAGTTAATGGGTTTATACCCCATTACTGGGTAAATACTCGAAATAGGGATACCTTTGTATGAGGGCTACCATTAAACGTGGAACTATATACACGAATTTTTGCATAGAAATTTGGTACAGCCAAATTACAGCCAATTTGGACGTAAAATGTGTCTAATAGACAAAAAATACCTTAAATCTGGAGATACGGTTACCGCCAATTTGGTCGTAAAATGTGTCTAATAGACAAAAAATACCCTTAATAGGGAGATACGGTTATATGGGGGCTATATCAAAACTTGGCCCCAGGGGCCCAAATTTGCATTTCAATATTGGGTATTTACCCAATTAACGGGTATTTACCCTTTGGGTTTTTATCCACTGTCCATCTCTAACTATATATCTTCAAATTTCCATATTTTCCAACCGTTACTTATTATTATTACTTATTCACAGACATTATTCAATTTACATGTAAACCTCCTACAAAGAGGGGAATATGTTCTTGAACAACTCTAATTCCATACAAAAATCAGAGATCAGAGTTACAAAGTATAAAATGCTCAATGAAATATTGGAACTTGTGTGGCAGAAATAAAAGGAAAGTTCTAAAGTCGGACGGGACCGACTATACGATACCATTCACCATTTTGGCACATACAAGAGATGCTCATATACACAAGTAGATAGAACAGACATCACATCTTTGAAGACCATTAAAATGGAATGAGACTAAACTGAATATCGTCAGCTAAAATGCAAAAAGGCGTAACTAACAAAGCCATACTTGTGTAGGAGAAGCAAAAAACTGTTTTGAATGAAAACTATAAACATGCCATGTGAAATGAAAAAAGTATGCCCGGCAGGGAGATATTGCATATGACGAATAATAGACTATAATTTTTTTAACAAATTTAATTATTTAGTTTAATGACAGTCATAACAATTAAGTAAAAACGCGAATTTTTTGTTAGTTACACCTTTTTGCATTTATCAAATAAACCCACTTGTAGTTACGTCTTTTTGTTTTTTGTTAATAGAAGCTCCTTTTTTGACCGCAGACGTGAAAAAATTTGTCAACACATGTAGTTTATTGACATTCACAATATTCATTCAAAAAGTCAATTTTCAATTTTTTGTTAGTTACGCCTTTTTGCATTTTAGCTAACGATATGTAATCTACATAAATATTTAAACCAATTTAAATCAACCCATTCAAATTCCATTCCTAGCACTTTTTTAGCATTTTTTATTTTTTTTAGGATTTTTTGACAATTTTGGTTTCAATCTCAACAATTTTGCCGCATTAAATTTCCTCTATGTATAATGCGGCATATGCCGTGCATTCAAAATTTCTTAAAAAAGGTCGGGTACTTGATGTGGAGACTACGACGTTGCCTGCTAGTAGTTATAACCACTTCAGAATACCGAACCAAATTTGGACATTATTAGTATTAATATTTTAGTAGGAAGATTTGAAGCTCCATTAAAACAAATATTAGTCAATTCGGTTGCGTGCCCGACGTCCCCAAAATATCAAATAATGGGGGGCTACTTTTAAAGGGCTACTCTTAAAAGTAGGCCAATATTGCTAATTTTTAGTAAGAAGATTATATATCCAGGGAGAAACCGAAATACAAAATTAAACATTGTGCCTAAAAGCTTAAAAAAGCAAATATTGGGGTATCATTATATGATGCACCCAAAAAGTGCCGATATATTCCATTTCCAATACCAAATCTCCTAGGAGTAGTAGCAATGTATGTGCAAAATTCCAAAGCTCGGTTTTCAATATTGCGACTACAATCGGACGGACGTGGCTAAATTGACAACGAACGGCCGTTATGAATAAATGGGGTCTCTGATGAATATTTCATTATTAAATATCAACAATTTTGTTCTTTTTTTAAAAGAAATTTTTTTTTTAAAGAAATCTGGCATTTTTCCTCAACAAAGCTTTGGCAACACTGATCCTAACCGATGTCGCGTTTTTGTTATATATTTATATCTGAACCGATTTCAGGGAAACTTGCCAAAGACTAATTAATATTACTTCAGTACGTTGTGTCAATCAGCCTAGCTATGGATCTTTTCACGAAGCTTAGCAACATCATTCTAGACTTAATTCAGTACCCTATTCCAAAATTCGTGCAAATCGAAAGATATATAGGGACTTTGGGGCGCCAATTACATAAAATCGGACGAAAATGTACATGGGAGCTATATCTAAATCTGAACCGATTTTCACGAAACTTAGCACACGTCACTCTATACTTAATTCAGTTCGCTATGACAAATTTCGTGCAAATCCAATGATTTTCAGAGACCTAAAATGGGATGAAAATATATATGGGAGCTATATCTAAATCTGAACCGATTTTCACGAAACTTAACACACATCATTCTAGAACTTATTCATTACGCTGTGCCATTTCGTGCAAATCGAAAAATATGTAGGGACTTTGGTACACCTTTTCCCTTAAATCGGACGAAAATATATATGGGAGCTATATCTAAATTTTAACCGATTTTCCTAATTTAAATAGGGTTCGTCCTTGGGCCAAACAAATGAGCTGAGCCAAATTTCATCCACTTCGCATCATAAATGCGACCTGTACATGGACAGACGGACGGACATGCATAAATCGACTCAGAAAGTGATTCTATTCATATTCTCAAAAGGAACCATCGATCGATCTAGAATATTTTTGCCTGTTACAAAGATATGCACAAAGAAATCATACCCTGTACCACAGTGTGGTGAAGGGTATAAATATTTTTAGTGTTTTATGCCTAATTATTAAAGGGCAATCGTTTTTTTATGTTTTCCAATCACAACAAAAGCGATTGCTCCATTTTTTCCTTTCTGTGGTCTAGGGCGAGCAGTTAAAGTATATTCTCAATAATAACAGTGGGTCTATCACAAACATTTAAACAGAGAAATGTGCCACTGTAGGGTATTAATATAACATAATATGATTTATTCTTTATTTAATAAATTTCTTAAAAAAAAAAATATTTTGACATTCAATCAAGATTGGACAATTGGATTGTTAGTAGAACAACATTCATACCAAAATTGTTTAATATCGGCCCAACATTGGTATATCTTTTTTTGCTATTTTGAAAGTTTTAGACTTATTATTGTTCCGTTATAATTGCGGGCGGGTAGAAGGTTCTGATTTCATATGTTCATCTTAAATTTCTTAACAGTTATAATATCCGCAAACTCTGTTCATTTTTTGAGGCACCTAATCAGATCCCGTTGGTCACACCCTAAAGAGATTATTTCATGGTCATTAACGTTTAATTTTCTTATTCGATACAAAATGATTGTACTCATGATTGGATGCTCTTCCAATCTCATCTTGTGATGTTTATGTATGCCATACAAAGCTACATACAAATAGATTTAGTTGGTTGACCTTCTAAGTTTTATTCAGTCTCCAATTTGCGTTACACCCGTTATATATTCTGCAACAATATCTTGTTGAGGATGCTTCGTTACCAACTGGATTTCCATTTGTTTAGTTAAAAATATAAATAAAACTATTTATAATATTCATAGTATTCACAAAATAACAATTATAAAATAGTGTTCATAATTTTTTTTTTAATTTCTGATTTTTATAACACAATTATTCCCATTTTTTGTCCTTTACCGCTGGATGGAATGGACAAAGTAACGTTATGGTCCATTTTGTACAATCCATAATGAAATAAAACACAGAGTCATTTTGTGCTGGTATTTTTGTTATTTAGAAGATGTTGTCACATTTAAACATGCCATACTTTATTTCATACTTTACAATTTCACTTTATATATTTTTATTACCGTACATAGTCTAATGTAAAATTTAGTTTTCTTGCTTTAACAAAATCAAATTATAGGAACTTAAAATATTTTGGTTTTTGAAAGATAAACATATCCGGTGAAAACAGTAAAAGTTTCATTGTTAAATATATAATATATTAGCTTTCGGGGACCTTGTTGCCATTAGGTAGCTCTGCAAATGGGGAATACTTCTGATGTCGTATTTATTACATAGTTAGTTAAATGCATTTTCATGCTAGTGGTTTTTAATTTATTTCTTATTTTTTGTGATCGGTAAACACTTAAATACTAAAAAATAGTACATACATATATTAGACGTAGTATTACATTTTGTCGATTTTGATTTTAATTTAGTTTTGATTTTTTTATTTGTTTCTTTTGTTTTTAACAATATAGTATATTAAGTGATTTTTTAAAACGTTTGTATTATTTTCATTTTTTTCCGAAGAGAAGCATTGGTGGTTAAAGCATTAGAAATGTTAACGGTTAAATTCTCTAAACAAAGATATTCGGTTAGTTGGTAATAGTTTTGGAGCAACAGTTTAACATTTTCATGCTTAATTGTATCGTGTAGTAGTTTGTGTGAATAAAACACTAATTAAAATGTTTGGCGATACGATTTTGGTTTTGGGATTTTCATATATACACAATTTATTCTAACTTAGTAACCAAATCAAAAAACAACATACATATAAAAATAAGAAGTTTTTTTTTTCAAAATAAAATATAATTTTGGACAGCATTCCAATTGTATTTGAATGATGCGTTGTGCTGATTTTTTTAATCCTTGTTCCGAACAAACATGATTTCGGTTTCGTTTATGTCTTATTCTTGGGCTGGGGTATAACGTTTTCAGGCTTGGTGTTGGACACGGTTGTTGGGACATGGTTTTGAAGTTATTTAAACGTCTGTTTCCGAGCGACGCCTTCTACCTGGACCACCGGGGAAATTAGCAGCAGCTAAACCCATACGATGTTTTGCTTCTTGTGTTCCAGAATATCCACGAGCTAAACCGAAGTCGACGGTACGTTTTGAACTGTAAAAACATAATGTGAAATTGATTTGAATTTGTTATTTAAATGTGTATTTAATAATAAAATTAATATTATAATATAAGCCCTCTATATAATATTGTATTATTAAATTATGTAATAATATCTTCGTTTCGAACTGAACATGAAAAATAGAAAATAAATATCAGTACAGTCAGGGATGGTCCGTGCGACGAATTTTAAGGTTTTCGACTGTCAAAAAGGTGTAAACGTCGAAAACGTCATATACCTGTATAAAATGTAATAAATGTAGTAAACGTCATTTATTTCCATACTATCACTATATACAGTTATTTTCAAGAATCTATTATAATTTTACACATTTCTGACTATTTCTTACTAGTCCTGCGAAAAAAATTCTAAACATTTTTAAGAAAAAAATAATTTTTTTTATGAATTTCAGTAGAGAATATTAAATTTCCATATTGGCTAATGGAAATAACCGTTTTGTCAAAAACCTAGTGGTTTTGGATGGGTTTCCGACGTTTCTGACGTATGTATTATAATTCGGAAATGTATGTCATTTACGTCACTGATTCTGACGGACCATCTCTGAGTACAGTGGAACAAATTCCTATTTTCTGCAGAGACCGTAACTGTTATAAGTAATACAAAATCAATTGTAAAATAACAGTTATTTTATGGCCTAAATAAAAAAATCTATTTTAATTATTTACTTTTTAACGAAAAAAATAAACGTTGATTAAAAAAAGTGATTGTTATTTTTTTTTCTTTAAAAACAAAACTAATTTGAGAAATTTTATTTTTACGCAAAAAATAAAATTCTTTTACAGATTTTTATTTTTTTCGTCAAAAATAAAATTATCAAGTGACTGCTCTTTTTTCCGTCAAAAATAAAAATCATTTCAAAAATCATTTCTTACGTAAATAAACGTGTAGAGTTTGGTACCGGGGATTATTCTTTATCTAGTATTATTGATTTCATACACAAAATTATTATCAGATATTTATAATATTATAAGGGACGCACAAAAATGGCCAAAACCAAAAACTTCGGAGGACAAATTTATCTATAACTAGCATATGCCCGCAACTTCGTTAGCGAATGTAGGAAATATTTAAACATGTATTAACATATTATTTTATTTTCACAGCAAGCTGCATATGTCAGAAAAAATAAATTAAATTTGAGTACCATTTAGTACCAAATTTCATGATTTGATCTCTAAAGGTTCAACCAAATCCAAATTTTCCATTTAGCCCACATTATTTCCATTAGTACCCTCTTCAACCATCCAACAAAACTTCATGCATATCCCGATGCTACCCCCCACAATGATTCCAAATTCAAATTTCAGGATTCCAATTCTATTGGTTCACCCACAATTCAAATTGTACCGAATTTAGTGCACAGTAGTAATTATTTCCAAAACCTCCTTCCTACCCCAAACCTACACTCCCACAGTCATCCTAAATCCTAGTTTCAGGATTCCAACTCTATTAGTGCACCCGCAACTCAATTGTACCAAATTTAGAACATAATTGTACCAATTTCCAAAACTTCCTACATACCCCAATCCTGCATGATTTCAACTCTATCGCTTCACCCACAATTTAAAGTGTACCAAATTTAGTACACATTAGTACGAATTTCTAAAACTTCCTACATATTTCAATCTTACACCGCCACAGTGATCCTGGCTCCAATTTTCATGATTCTAGCTCTATTGGTTCACCTAAAATTCAAATTGTCCCATTTAGTACCCATAAGTATTACTTTCTTAAACTGAATCCTGACCTTAATCCTACATTCCTACAATGATCCTAACTCCAAATTTCATTGTTCCAGCTCTATCAGTTCCCCCAAATCCAAATTGTACCAATTATAGTACTTTTCGTACACATAAGTAAAAAGTTTCCAAAACTACGTACATATCCTAATCCTACACTCCGACGGTAATGTTACTTTCAATTTTCAGGATTCCAGCTCGATTTGTACTTTCAAATCAAATATGTACCAAATATAGTACTATATAGTACTTTTCGTTCACGCTTTCCAAACTCTCCTCATATCTACCCTACTTCTCAACCTTAATTTGCATTCCAAATTTCAAGTTTTTAGCTCAATCCATTCACATGCTACGAAATTTTACCAAATTTAGTACATTTCAGTACTTTTCGGATGCTTGTGCTACATCTATTCTACACTCCATCAGTAACCCTCAATCCAAATTTTAGAGTTTTAGCTCTACTGGTTCGCCAAACACAAATGGTATCCCATTTAGTACTTTTCGTACCGTTCTAGTACGAATTTCCAAAAACCCAGCCTTATGTGGCACCTTTGGACCAAGAGTGACCCTCACCTAAAATTTCAAGATTCTAGCTTTCGTCTGGGCGTTGATGAATCGTTAAATCAGTCAGTCAGTCAATCACTTTACTCTTTTATTAGTATAGATAATTGATAGAAAATATTTTAAGTATAAGTAGTAGTTCAAGTAGATTTGCCTTTAACAGGTTTCAAGTCTGATTATTGTTGGTAATCTGTCTTTTCCCCTCTATTTTCGAAAAAAGTGGGTAAATTTTAAATGATGCTCAAATATTTGTATATTTAAATTAACGTATATTATTCGTATTTCTTTTGGTTGTTTCTATGTAAATAGGCTAAATATGAAGAAGAATAGCGAATGCAGAAAATAGTAAGCATACAACTTTGTACATAAAATTTTCAACTACGTGGGAAACAATTTATCCGATATGGATATGGTGGAATTGGTTTTAATATGTTGATTTTGCATGGCTGCATATAAATTAGATTCGTTAAGTTTAATGATTATACTATGTTTAACAAATCATTTGTAAATTCTATAGGAAAATTATAACTTCTTACAGTCTTGAGAAAAGTTTATACAGAAAAATCTTAGTTCGTGGCATTGGATATATAAAATAGATTTCCTTAGGGTGACTTTATCCGAATATTTGTTGGCGCCGAATTAAATAAGGTTTATATTCAGCATTTCATATTACAAGAAGACACTGCTATATCCTTGAACAGCTAACAGCTAAAATATTTTCTCGAAATTATGGAATAAAATAATTTATATAACCCTGAAGAGTGTTCTGAAAATGAATCAGAAATGTATGTAGGGAATAAAATCAAGAAAGTAAATTTTTCAGGGTCCTTTGTATGGGAGGCATTCTAAAACATTGACCGACAGTAATTTATAACACGTGTTAGGTACTTTCTCCTTATTTGAAGTAAACTGCGTGAGAAGATAACCAAATCTTGGTTCGATCAATCCTGGTTTTCTCACTTATTTTCATTGAACGATTTTATAGGCCAACAAATTGACATTTTCAAGACACATTGTATGAGAGGCACATCAAATCTTGGTCCAGTTTTCTGTTACTTGCTTTTTACGCCAAACGTATAACAGTACAATACTTCCTCCAACTACAATATCTCCTTAGATTTTTGGGCACTGTTAATATGAACATACGACACTGTGGAACCTAAACGTCATTATATAGGGTTCTAATCATGCTTGGGACCGTGAGATGTGTTCATCAGTCAAAATCATGAGGAAACAACTATTTTGTCTCAAACAATTTTAACTCATTTTTACCATAAGGTGGAGCATACATTAAATTTGTCATTCCGTTTGCACCAACTCAACGTTTATTTTTTTGTGCACGTTTCGAGGAAGCACTTACATAACGGTACACTCAACAATATTCCGTATTTTGAGCTTTTGCGAACGTTTTTGAACCTAATCAGCTGTAATGGACTGAGTAAAAATATTTTCCTGATCAACGTAATCAGTAGTGGTCACTTTTTGGAGTAGCACCGTAAAAAGCTACATCTAAAATATTGGCAGTTTGGACACGTGTTTCAATCAAATTGGCAGTATTTGTATTTTTTGTTCTCATTCAGTAGGAATTTTCTAGTTTCCGTGTATGTTGTGGGTTTGGACACGTTTTTCAACCGAAATGGCTCTAATTTGATGTTTTAGGTTCTCATGGAGTGTCAAATCTTCCTACCAAAAATATAAAAAATTTCGGCATTTTGAAGTCTATTGCCGTTTCCCCCACTGATATGGCTGTAATTTATGTGAAGATTTGTAGGTGTTTTAAACGGAATTGCATATATAACATACACTTCTGTAGGTACAGAAGACAAATTATAAAAGTCCATCAAATTCTGGTAAATTTCAAATTCAAATTCTGGTAAAGTGTCCAAAATCCAGAAACTTAATATCATTAATTTTGATAATCAGAAAAGGTTTAAGCGTCAAAGAAATGCTATCGATTCAAAGTAAGACTGAATTGTTAATAAAAACCTTCAAATGTTCATCGATCAATGTGTAACTTCGTCCATAAGTTATTAGTCTTTTCGTGGATATACAAATTTACACATCTCCCGTTCGTATGATTAAAAAATTGTAATTTTTTCACAAAAATATAATTTCATAGCGTATTTGGCGTGAGGTTTTTATATCCTCAGTCTTATGGCTAATGAGGGCATATACACTTTGATACGACAACGTGTTAATCATCGAAATATTGGTTTTAGACCCCAAGTATCTTTTTACCAAATCCGTTCAGACAATTTGGAATCGATTCGCGCATGTGCGTCCCTCTGTATAGCCGACTGGTGCGCACAATAAATAAGTAACCGTTTTCACCCAAACTTAGTTCAACTTCGAAGATGGGGAATATCGGTCCACTGCCTCTACTACACAAAATTGTAAAAATTGTGCTAAAAATTAATTTTATAATACCATGCGAACGGACTATCCGATTTGAACCAAATTTTGTACTAACAATCATCTTTACCAAGTCTAGATCAAGTACCTGGTTATTCCTCCACAAATGGTCAAATTTTTATACCCTTCACCACACTGTGGTACAGGGTATTATGTCTGTGTGCATATGTCGATTTATGCATGTCTGTCTGTCCGTCCATGTATTTTTGTTAACAAAGTACAAGTAGCATTTATGATCCGATTTGGATGAAATTTTGCACAGTTCACTTATTTGACGAACCCTATTGAAATTGGAGACAAATCGGTTCAGATTTAGATATAGCTCCCATATATAGTTTCGTCCGATTTTATGTAAATGATGCACCAAACTCCCAATATTTGTCCGATTGGGATAACATTTTGCACATGTCACTGAATCAGGTCCATGCTTATGTGTGCGGAGTTTTGTTGGAATCGGTTCAGATTTAGATATAGCTGCCATATATATAGTCGTCCAATTTGATGTGAATGATGCACCAAACACCCAATATTTGTCCGATTGCACAACATTTTGCACAGATTTCTGAATTAGGTCCAGACTGATGTCTGCGAAGTTATGTTAAAATCGGTTCAGATTTAGATATAGCTCCCATATATAGTTTCGTCGGATTTTTTGGTGAAATTTTGCACAGAGTACTGAATCATATTTAGATTGATGTCTGTGAAGTTTTTTTTATATCGGTTCAGATTTAGATATAGCTCCTATATATAGTTTCGTCCGATTTTTTGTGAATGATACACCAAACTCCCAATATTTGTCTGATTGAGAAAAATTTTGTTGAAATCGGTTGAGATTTTAATATGGGTCTTATATATATTTTCGTTTGATTATATGTAAATGGTGGTTACACGAAATTTGGCAGAGGGTATTAAATTGAATATAGTGCTTACAAGAAACAAATGGTGTATGCAACGGTTACTCAATTAGGTCCATGTGTTTATATATACCTCCCATACATAATTTGACTCGATTTCATACAAATAGTACATCAAAGAATCCAAGTCTGTCCGTTTGACATGCAATTTTTCATTGATTTCAGAATGGTATGTGTTTGGGGTTTTCAATTGGTTCAAATATTTATCCAGATTGTACATTTAATTTCGCCCGATTTCATCTCAATGGTCCTCCAAAAATTCTATGTTATACCTACAGGATATTGTAAATATTAACATGTCTTGCATGTACCAAAAGTGGTGAAGGGTATCATATAGTCGGCCCCGTCCGACTTTACTGGTTTTTAATTTCATTTCATTACAATAGCACTTTAAACTGTGTAATTACATTGGCGGTATAAACATTCTTTACTTACTTCTCTAAATCATTGCGTGCTCTCATTATAGTTTGTCCAAAGCGTGCCATTAATTCCATTAGGATATCATCCGGTACTTCTTCGAGCTCATTGTAATAGCCATTGTTTTGGCTGCAAAATAAAAAAATGAAAAGAATAGACGACGAATAAGTGAAGTGTTGTGGAAAATTAATATTTCATAAATAATTATTTTAATCCTACGGCTGTAAATGTTTGTATATGCAATGAAATGTTTGTTGGTAAATTTTTAAGTTGCAAAAATTTGAACATTAAACTTTTCTCAGCAATGGCGTTTAATTATCAAGAGATTTACAAGTTTTGTAAATGAGTCTCTTGGTGAGATCAGCTGTTTTAATAAATGATGAGTGTATAAACATGTAAAGACGTATGTTTGCAAGAATTCTAAAAATATTCTACTAAAAATATACATTAGTAACAAATGTAAATAATTGTCGACATGTAGAAAATTCTATGTTTGTTCTTATTTTTATAAATAAAAAGTGTTTTTTTTTTTTAATTATAAAGTCCTTAGTCGACAGTGTCCATCATTAATTATGTTTATTTAATTCAAGTCCTTTTACATTTCTGGTTTTATAAAGAAGTTAACATTGAATTTAATCACTCGACTAACTTGTTATTCACAAAATTCTATAATATTCTTATGTAACCGTTGTATGTTCATTACAACATTATGAAAGAAGTAGAATAACTGAATATACATGTATAAGCAATGGTCATTATTATTTCAGTATAATAATGATGTCAAACCTATTTAAAGACTGTAAAGCTTCTTATTATTAGTTGCGAGGTAGAACACAAGATTGGGGTTTTCATGGAACATAACACAATTTAGTTACCATTAAGACACACAATTTGAAAATGTTGAAATGGTGTCGTGCCCCTTTCAGCTTTCACACACAGCCCGAATAAAGTGTGAGTGGCTGTTGAATAAATTTTATCATCTAAAAGCTAGAAAGATGTTTATGTTTGTGTTTAGTGCACTTTAATTTCGTTCCTGTGTTCCTGAACTAATTATGAGGGGAACAACCAAAACATGGCTAATAAAAATGTTAATCTCTCCTCCTACTAATGGGGGGAAGTTGTTAGATGTCTTTGTTAAATATTCATTAGACTCGTGTTTATGTTAGCTTTCTCCGTTGTCGTAATAAATGACCAAAGGATATGCTCGTATATATTTTGTGTGACAAATTTAGTAGTAATTTAGAGAAGGAATTTTTCGAAAGTGATATTTTTCTTGGATAGAGTAGTACTACAAAAATTCTAGGAGATTAGCAACGTTAACAAAGAAGTACTAGTTCCTCAAAGTGTACAAGTGATATCTTGTGTTTTGTTAACATGTAAAAACGTTGTAAAGTTAGCCGGGACGACGTTTTTTTATCCTTTAACGCGTGGTGTGTATTCAAAATTCCTTAAATCATTCGGAACATTTTTATAGGGACAATGTTTTTGGAAAAGGTCATACGAGACGCAAAGGTGAACAGAAATAGCACTCTGTACACCAAACAACACATGTTACTCGAATACGCCGATAACATCGATATAATGGGTCGAACATTGCAAGCGGTAACAGCCACCTTTCAAACAAATTGAAAAGGAGTCTGCCAAAGTGGGTCTGGCAGTAAACGGCGAGAAGACCAAGCTGATGGTATCAACGCGCAAGACGTCCAGTAGACTCGGACCAACTGTGGAACTTGAGAACTACAGCTTCGGGGTAGTTAAAGACTTTATATACCTTGGTACCGCCATAAATAAAACGAATGACATCAGTTTTGAAATTCGGAGAAGGATTGTGATGGCCAACAGATGCTACTATGGTCTAAGTAAGCAGTTTAGTAACAAGACCACCTCCCGCCAGACCAAACTCACACTTTACAAGACTCTAATACTACCCGTGCTATTATATGGATCAGAAGCATGGGTACTTGCGCAAGCAGATGAGGCAGCTCTTGTGGTGTTTGAGAGAAAAATTCTCCGAAAGATCTACCGGCCGATCTGCGTCGACGGTGAATATCGGCGTCGAATGAACCACTAGCTTTACAATTCATACGCGGACATCGACATAGTCAGTCATATTGAACTGCAGCGACTACGGTGGCTAGGCCATGTTGTGCGGATGAATGAAAATGCCCCAGCTCAAAAGGCATATAAAAATGAGCCTACTGATAGTTCCAGTAGAAGGGGAAGGCCACGAATTAGATGGAAAGACCAAGTAGAAAACAACATCTTGGAACGTGGTCTTCCAAATTGGTGGACTTGCGCACAAGACCGACGCGCTTGGAAATCTTTTTTAAGCTCGGCTTATTGAACAACCGTTCTGTAAACAAGGCAGCTAAGTAAGTAATGTTTATCAATTATGTGGTAGTAGGTTGATCATGCTCTAAAAATAATGGACCAAATTACAGACACTCAGGTTGGAAAACATCGGTAGGATTTTCAACATACCGAACATTTAATTGAGCATTTGTATTGGGGCTATTTTAAAACTGTATAGAACTATATTTAATAATTCTTTGGGAAATTTTTATTTATTCACCGATTTATGCATGTCCGTCCGTCTATAGATGTTAAATTGTAAACAAAGTACAGGTCGTATTTAAGATCCGATTTGGATGAAATTTAGCACAAGTCACTTATTTGGCCCAAGGTCGAACGCTATTGAAATTGAAGAAAATCGGTTCAGATTTAGATATAGCTCCCATATATAGTTTCGTCCGATTTTATGTAAATGGTGCAACAAAGTCCCTATATATCTTTTGATTTGCACGAAATTTGGCGTAGCGTACAGAACTAAGTCTAGAATGACGTGTGTCAAGTTTCGAGAAAATCGGGTCAGATTTAGATATAGCTCCCATATATATTTTCGAGCGATTTAATGTAAATGGGGCACCAAAGTTCCTATATATCTTTCGATTTGCACGAAATTTTGTGTAGTGTACTGTATTGAGTATGGAATGGAACGAGAAAAGCGGGTCAGATTTATATATAGCTCCCATCTATATTTTCGTCCGATTTAAGGTAAATGGGGCTCCAAAGTCCCTATATATCGTTCGATTTGCACGAAATTTGGCATGGGGTACAGAATGTGGTCCAGAATGATGTGTGCTTTCGTGAAAATCGGTTCAGATTTAAATATAGTTCCAATATATATTTTCGTTCGATGTAATGTAAATTGTGACCTATGGACCCACAGTTTGGCAGACCGGCACACATTTTTGTACAATGTACTGAAGTTGTCTTTAGTCAAGTTTTCTTGAAATTGGTTCAGATTTACCTATAGCTCCTATATATACTTTCATCCGATTTTAAGTAAATGGTGAACTAAAGACTGATTGACACAATGTTCTGAAATTAATATAAATTAATCTCGGCAAGTTTCCTTGAAATCGGTTCAGATTTAGATATAGCATAGCTTCCACATATATATTATAGACCTATTGATGTGGAGTGTACACCAAATAATCAATGGGTGCCTGATTAATATTATATTTTAAACAGTGAATCATACCAAATAGCTTGTATAAAGTTTGCTTTACATCTATTTACAAGGTATGGAATAGGATGCAGAATGGCATGTGTTGGGATTGATGTTAGTCGGTTTACTTATAGATAAAGATCGCATATTTAAGTTCGCTCAATTTCATGTCAATGTTCCTTCAAAAAGACAATATCTGTTAAGATACATATGTAGAATATCCCCAAACTGGTGAAGGGTATCATATAGTCGGTCCAGTCCTTACTAATTTAAATTAAATATTTAAAGAGTACACTTTCGAATATCGTTGGCATTTTTGGAATCGGGCGTTTCAGGACTTTTCGTTAATTACACAATTCCAAAACAACAAAAAAGTATGTCAATTCATTTTCTTATCCTTTAAGTCTTCAAGTGCCTATATACAAAATATACAAGTCCACAAAATACCGAATATTGAGGCAACCCCTAAACATTGGCCAATATTGGTTTGAATTTTGGTGATCATACAACTATTTTCTGTGCTCAAATTAATGAAACTGTAAGATATGAACAAAATTTGCCATCACTACATCCTCGCACTCAGGAGGTACAGTACATTCTTTCTGAGAAATTAAATTCAAATATCTAAAAAAACATTGTACGACTAAACTATCACTTTAAATTATTCTTTAGATTCTTTTTTGAGGGTACAATTCGAATACGAAGCGATTTAATTAAATTGGATTGTATACACAGTACTTATTTGTACCACATTTTTGCCCTCGAATATTTATTGAAAATCGAATAATTTATATTTACAATGGGCCACACATTATTATGTTGGAATTAATTCTGTTGTGGTCAAAAGCTTGAAAATACCGAATATTAAGAGGTGGACATATATATCGTATTTCCAACACAAAACATCCTAGAAGTGTTATAAATGTCTATGCAAATTACGATAGAGCTCTATCTTAAATATTGCGATCTCTCTTGCGATTTCAACAGGCAGACGGATATGGCTCCAGAATACCTCCAGCTCTCCTATAGGAAGAAGAATACCTTGGAAGAGGAATGCCTACATCTCTCCTATAGGAAGAAAAAGTTGGAGGCAACTTTCCTATAGCAAGAAAATTGCATGTAGCTCTCCTATAGGGATGAATAATACCTGCAGCTCTTTCAAAGAAAGAAGAATGCCTGCAGCTCTTCCACAGGAATATGAATACCTACAGCTCTCCTATAGGAAGAAAATTACATACAGCTCTCCTATAGGATGAAGAATACCTCCAGCTCTTTCATAGGAAGAATAACTGCAGCTCTTCCACAGAAAGAATACCTGTATCTCTTCTACATGAAGAGGCATCCTGCAGCTTTTCCACAGGAAGAGGAATTCCTTCAGCTCTTCCTATACATAAATACCTAACAACTTCTTGTAAACGAAATGACAAATTTAATATGCACTGGACTTTGTGGTGGAGGATATAAAAAGTGGGGTATATTACTAAGTGAACTGGTGTGCATAGTGTTGCCAGATTCCAATTCACAAAATGCTGGACATTGCATTTTAAAAAGCTGGACAAAAAACAGGACACAAAAAAACATACTCTTCACCATGAGGTGGACATTCAGAACACATACGTAAAATAAATAGGAGTATTTGACATCCAATAAAAAACCAGATTTAACAAATATAGCCCACTCCGTTACAAAAACGTCCTCAAAATACCAAAAAAGGATAGTCATTATTGATAGTTTTTGGTAGTACTATTTACTAAAATGAGTTTACACTCCTAAAATATCGAAATTTGGCAGTTACAATTATATGGTGGCTAACATAAAAAATTAAACCGATATATTGTGTTCTCTATACAGGAGTAGTAGCTTTATTGTGATTTCAACAGACCGACATGCATTTAAATCTGACAAAGAATATGGGGTCTCCGGGGAATATTTAGAGGTATTTCAAACGGAATGTGCATTTAGTGAAATATAACATTGACTATTCAGTTGGACAAATTTTATATTAGCTTAAAACTGAACAAGCACCACAAAAGATTGTCAATACAGTCTGGCTGGCAGGCCTAGTTGAGCATGTGTCGGCTTTGCCATGTCTATCACGATAGAGCTGGTTATTTTTTAGATAGTATGTTCATTTAGAAAAATGTATGCTCATGGTTTGCATAGTCCCCATATAATAGTCCCGCTAAAATTCAGGTATGCTGAAGCTCCAAACACAATGTGAGTCCAGGATTTGAGGCATTCCAAATTTAAAAATAATTAATTTCAAAAACAACTCAACCCATTTATAATTATGTTATCCTTCAACTCGTTTTTTCTACGTCGAGGACTTTAACCCCTGTCTATTAAATTCTATGTTACTTAGGCAATCTTATGTATTTTCAATTATAAGTCTTTTGGCTTAATAATTTCAATGTATTCGATGTATTTTTAATTAGATGGCAATGTTCACCACCACATTTGCCATACATGTGCATATTTTTCTGATGTAATTAACCATATATTCTATAAAAAATACCACTACCTTGGCATTGGAGCACCCTCAGCAAAGGACACCATCCACAAGCACAGCAAAGTCGAAACAAAGATGCCAGCGAAAATTTTTCTTTGTGTCATCATTTTTTACGAATTGAAGGAAGTGTTGAAATAAGCAAAAAACTGTAATTAGAATAAATAAACAAAATATAATTAATGTTAATATTCAAGAAATTGTCATTACAAATATGATTATATTTTATTCGGGAAATGTGAACATAACAATAATTTAGTTGCTAGGCGAAGGAAAATTCAGTACATCATTCAATATTTAAAATGTAGCAATTGTAATTACATTCTTTATGACGCGAAAGATATAACTAAATCGAAAAAATTATTAAAGTTCAAATATTCGTTTTAGTATACTCTATTAATTTTGCACTTTCCTATAATTGAGAAATGTAAGTTTAAAAACGATACAGGCTTTCAGTAATGTTGAATTTATTACGATTGCTCATATATTAGGTAGTGGAAAAAGAAAACCAACAAGAAAAGGTCGATAAAATCGACATGTAACATCGCCCAGGAACTAAAAATCGACCATAAAACATTTTTAAACCATTTACACAAAGCTGGATTCACAAAGAAGCTCGATGTTTGGGTACCACACCAATTAACAGAAAAAATAGGATGTATCGACTTTCCATCTGCGAAGCTTTTGTCAAACGGAATGAGAAAGACCAATTTTTTAAACGGATGGTGACTGGAGATGAGAATGGATCACATACGGCAATCCTGTGAGAAAGCGATCGTGATCAAAAAGCGGTGAAACACCTCCAACTGTGGCCAAACCAGGACTAACGGCCAGGAAGTTTCTGCTATGTATTTGGTGGTACTAGAAGGGGATTATTTATTATGAGTTGCTTCCATATGGCCAAACGCTAAATTCTGACCACTACTCTCAACAACTGGACCGTTTGAAGATATCAATTGACCAGAATTGACCAACAGGAGAGATGTCGTGTTCCACCTGGACAACGATCGGCCACACATATATACAAAAATTCGCCAGAAACTTCGGGAGCTTGGTTGGGAATTTTTAATGTATCCGTCATACAGTCCGGACTTGGCACCAAGCGATTATCATCTTTTTCTTGCATTGTTAAATTTCTTTAATGATAAACCAGTAAGGAAAGTAGTAAAGTCGGACGAGGCCGACTATATGATACCCTTCACCACATTGGGTATATTCAACAGATGGGATCCTAACAGACCTCGCATTTTTAAGGACCATTAACATGAAATTAAACATGTCATTCTGCAATCTATACTAAATTTTGATCAGATATAGAGTTGCTTCTTACAATGGGACAAAATTATGTAAATAAATTTAAAGCAAAATATCGAAATCTACACCGATTTCATCGAAACACATGTTAGGTTACACTAATTTCAGTATGTTTTTGCATTCGGCCACATTTTGCGTTCTTCATTTACTTATAGGGACTTTTGTGCACCATTTACATAAAATCGGACAAAAATATATATGGGAGCTATATATAAATCTGAACCGATTTTCACGAAATTTAAAACACATCGTTCTAGGCTTAATTCAGAACGCTGTGCCAAATTTCGTGCAATTCTAACGATATATAGGGACTTTGGTGCACTATTCAAATAAAATCGGACGAAAATATATATGGGAGCTATATCTAAATCTGAACCGATTTGCAGGAAATTTAACACACATCGTTCTAGGCATAAGGATATATAGGGACTTTGGTGCACCATTTACATAAAATCATACGAAAATATATATGGGAGCTATATCTAAATGTGAACCGGTTTTTCCCAATTTCAATAGGGTTCGTCTTTGGGCCAAATAAGTGAACTCTGCCAAATTTCATCCAAATCGGATGAAATTTGGCCTGTACCTTTGTTAAAAAGGTACAGGTCGGACGGACAGACGGACATGCATAAATCGACTTAAAATTTATTCTATGCATATTCTCAAAAGGAACCATGTGTCTATCTCGTTTCCTTGTCTGTTACAAACATATGCACAAAGACATAATACCCTGTACCACGGTGTGGTGACGGGTATAAAAATTGGTATCTAGAGCTTTTTTTACATAAAGAGAGCAAAACTTCTATGAAAGAGGCATTATTAAGTTACCTTTAAAATAGCAACATACAGTAAAATACAACAAAACGGTGCATATTTGGACCAAATCGGACATTCCGAAGCATGTTAAATAAAGTCCTAGAGTTTATATAAAAATAATGGATTTCTTGTTCCCCAACCTAATATTTGTAACATGTAAATTTGTATTTTTTCTATTTTTGAGATAATCGGTTAAAATTTTGATATAGCGATGTGAATGGGAGTAAAGTTTCATTTAGAGTAAATTCTCAAACTCTCTCGTCAATTATAATTCGTATACATTTTCGTGTGCATTTTGAAGGTTTAGTAATTTTTTTCGTAATCTATAATTCACAAGACTGTATAATTTTCCTCTGTACATAGATTTGAAATATAAAACAATCATATTATCCCACCAACAAGTGTAGAACATAAATATCCACTCACATTTACCACAAATATTAAATCCCTATTGCATTTCTAATATTTCATATTTTCACCGACTATTGTATTTAAGTTGGCGGTGACATTGTATGTGTGTGTGTGTTGGTGCTTTTCAACGGTATTAGCAAATTATCCTTCACACCTGCGTTCCTTCATTTCATAACAGAAATTGTAATTGATAAGCTATGAATATCTCCAGAGTGAAATGAGTCTGAACAGTTGCTGTCACTCTGTTCATTTTAATGATAGTCTTTCCGGAAGAATGATTTGCAAAAATGAATAGTGTATGTTCCTCTTACCTGTACCAATGTATGGATGCTGCGATAGAAATGTTGTTTCCTACACTGTCACAAAACGAACGCAAACTTCATCTAAACTAAAAACAAGTATTTACATCGTTGAACAAGCCTTTAAGGCATCTGAATAAATTCACAAGCAAAAGACAAGTTCATTAATATAATCGGATGGACAATTCCAGTTTGTTGTTTTAGCAACTTTTTGCATTGAATTCAATGATAAAGATTTTAAAGTGCCTTAAATGAAGTCATACTTTAAACTGAAATAATATTGATTATGTCATTTTTTTATACCTTAGAAGACATTAATTTAATTAATAATTAATTAATTTCTTCATCATAAAGTGATTCTCTTTATCAAAAGTGATATTTTGCATTTGTAAAAACATTAATGGTTAAAAGCTGTAATTTTTACTATTACAAAACCAATTCATTATCTTACTACGAATGTTAATAATCCTAGTTCATACCTGAGTCAAACGATGTCGTTGGAATTTTTAGAATCGGACGTTCCAGTGATAGGAAATCATGTCCGCGGTCGAAAAGAAAAATTTGCCTTTAATTACAAAAAATGACTACAAAACAACAACAAATAAAATTATGGCAATTCATTTTTATACCCTTCACCACACTGTGGTACAGGGTATTGTCTTTGTGCATATGTTTCGAGATAGACCCATAGTTCCTTTTGTGAATATGCATAGAATCACTTTCTGAGTCGATTTACGCATGTCCGTCCGTCCATGTATTTTTGTGAACAAAGTATAGGTCGCATTTATGATCCGATTTGGATGAAATTTGACACAGTTCACTTATTTGGCCCAAGGACGAACCCTATTGAAATTGGAGGAAATCGGTTCAGATTTAGATATAGCTCCCATATATAGTTTCGCCCGATTTTATGTAAATGATGCACCAAAGTCCCTATATATCTTTCGATTTGCACGAAATTTGGCATAACGTACTGAATTGAGCCTAGAGTGATGTCTACTAAATTTCGTGAAAATCGGTCCAGATTTAGATATAGCTCCCATATATAGCTTCGTCCGATTTTATGTAAATGGTGTACCAAAGTCCCTATATATCTTTCGATTTGCACGAAACTTGGCATAACGTACTGAATTGAGCCTAGAGTGATGTACACTAAATTTCGTGAAAATCGGTCCAGATTTAGATATAGCTCCCATATATAATTGAGCCTAGAGTGCTTTATGCCAAGTTTCGTGAAAATCGGTTCAGATTTAGATATTGCTCCCATATATTTTTTCGTCCGATTTTATGTAAATGGTGCACCAAAGACCCTATATATCTTTCGATTTCTTCCGACTTTACTACTTTCCTTACTGGTTTTTTATAATTAACCCTACGGTCAATAACCAAAAAAGTATACGTAGATCAATAACCGTGGTACATTTGTACCCATCCAAAGGTAGCTCTGTAACTCATTAAAAAAGTGGACTATCGTGAGGTTTTTTGTTTGAAATTAGTCTATGCGGATCTGGTCTAGATGTAGGAACTCAAAATTATATATACATTAAAATAAAATATATTTAAATCCATGCTTAAATGATAATCTATCTAAAACAATCATAGTAAATTCGTTATAGCTTTCGAATGGGTTAAGCTTTTTTAGTTATTTTTTTATTGGGATCTTATTTAGGTGTTCCTTAACCCCTCTGCAAAATTTCGTGGAAGTCAGAAACTACCCTGGTTTTCCCTTGGTATACATTTCACATTTTATGAGTTTAGAGATTGTGATTGACACATTTTTAACACTATTTAATACTTTAAAACGTTATTTAATGATAGTTTATATATATATATATATACGCCAATTTAGGATTGTAATAAATCAGACTAATTCGATTATAGAAAAAGTTTCAGGCCCAATATGAAGAATAATTGGATAATTACAGACAATAATCATTGTTTTTGTCCTTGTATACCAAGGGAAAACCAGGGTAGTTTCTGACTTCCACGAGTCGCCCTGAAGGCCCCATGTTGTCTAGGGCAACAAAAATTTGCAGAAGAGTTGAGGAACACCTAAATAAGATCCCAATAAAAAAATAACTAAAAAAGCTTAACCCATTCGAAAGCTATAACGAATTTACTATGATTGTTTTAGATAGATTAACATTTAAGCATGGATTGAAATATATATTATTTTAATGTATATTTAATTTTGAGTTCCTACATCTAGATCAGATCCGTATAGACTAATTTAAAACAAAAAACCTCACGATAGTCCACTTTTTTAATGAGTTACAGAGCTATCTTTGGATGGGTACAAATGTAC